TGCACTAGCCAGTCAAAATGTTGAGAAAATAAGAAATATTTCAGTGATTCCTAAATGTGTCCATCCCTGTGTTCGAGCAGAGGTTTGCCATCTTGGCTGCTGTGTGTCAATGACACGGAAATATCAGTTATTTATGGGTAAAATAAGGGCTGTTTTGTTTGTGTTGCTGTAGTACAATGTTCTACATGTTTGGGCAACTGTAACACCACTGGTGGCATGGTAACTAGATGAGCAAAACTTGGATGGCTTGGGATGTGGATGGCACCATGCTGGTGTATTTATAACAGTAATTTACCATCCAGAAGATACTTGTATGGTTAAAAATAGTCAAGAGAATGGATATGCAGGAATTTTGGGGGGTAACATGAGTCCTGGGCAGCACTTGAGAATCACTGAGATTCTGTCCATTTATTTCAATGGCTGCAGTATGGAATGTGAGAGTTAATTTTACAGGTAAATGGCTGTAGGACCAGGCTCCTCATGAGGAAAATAGCATCACCAAATCATCAGAACTCAAGATGTCATGTAGGGCACTCCCAAGTCCTGGAAGCTGCTCTGATGCTGATCCCCAGGCTACAAGGTAGATGCTGTTAGGAATATTGTTACATCTGGGTTAGCCTGTACTCCGTGGTGGTCTGATCACTGTGCCAGCAGTTCTGGAGAGGGAAAAGAAGAAGTTGATTGCCCTCTCCCTGGAAATGTTCAAGACTAGGTTGGATGGGGCTTTGAGCAACCTGGTTCAGTGGGAGGTGTCCCTACCCATGGCAGGGGGTTTGGAACTAGATGGTATTTAAGGTTCCTTCCAAAGCAAACCATTCTATGATATAATGGCCAGGGCTGGCTGTGGCTGTACTAGTAGGTGAAGACAGAAGGAGGTTTGGTGCTGGTGCAGCTGCTTCCCTGGAATATGACAGGGATGGCTAAAGAAGAGCTAACAGTTCAGTTGCTTTCATATTCCCTGGATAATCAAGAAAACCTACAATACAGGAAGCTTCATCCTTTCCTGTCTCATTTAGTGGTAATAATGAAAACCAAACCCCAACCCCAAATCCTATGTAACTGTATAAATAAATACAGTTAGTTCCACAGATTAACTCCTGGTGACAGAGAGGCTTTCTCCCCTCATTTTTGACTTTGTCCTCTTGATTCAGTTGAACGTTCCCTTACACTGCATCAGGAGTAGGAGTAAATAACCTGCAGTTACTTCTCTTTGCTGTTGAAGAAACAGTTTCAGCATTTACTTTTGCTCCTGTGGATCTTCCCTGGTGTGCTTCCAACGCTTTCATTGCCCTTCTCCTTTCCCCTCCTGCCTCTGCTGTGTCCCTTTGGAGCAAGAATGACCGCAAGCGCCAGACCGTCCAGACTGGGGATTGCTGTTGCTGATGTGCCTAATAGGATTATAAGATTTTCAGCATTAATCCTTATCCGATTCTTTAGGCAGACTAACCTTGGACTTAGATTTTTGCCTCCTGTTGCACAATTAGTTGACTCTTCAGTGATTTCTTTACAGCTGCTGTTTTGTCCTTTTTCAAGGCGATTTTAGTTGAGGTTGACCTCCAGCATGGAGCAGTGTAAGAATTGTTGACTGTTGTGGTTATTTGTTTAGTGCTGCAAGTGAGCTTTTCCTAACCCCCTGGCGGAGGTCACTACTCCTTCCCTGCCTTTCCCCATACCCTGGGGCTAGGTATGTGTTTTAGCCCAGACTGTAGAACACATCTCTGTAGCTTTAAGCATGGCAACTGCTACGTCAAGCTCTGGGAGTCCCTGCTTTGCTGGTCAGGATCTCTGCTTCTGCTTTTGCACAGAGGGTGAAAGAGCCAAGGCTTTCCAGGGTGCATAGTGCATCCGAAGGAGCTTTGAAAGATGGAAATGGGTGGGGAGTGGGTTGACTCTGTCGCCTGGTTTCCTAAGGAAGTGGGGCTTAAGCACTCTGTTTTTCCACTGCTGCTATCTTTGCATCCGCAAAGTGGTTGTGGCCAAAACAGATGGGTCAGAGAGGTCTCATATATTAGGTTTCTACATTATTCATAAGAATTAGCTGCTGGGTAGAAGGTTGTCTCATAGCAGTGCCCGCCAGGAGGTAGAAGCTGCAGCGTTAACTCCATGGGTAGGTTGTTAATTTGGCTTGTCCAACCAGCAGGCACCAGTCAGGCAGTCGATGCATGTGCCACAGAAGGAGTCATAGCACATGTGGTTCCCAGGTCAGCTGGCGGTTGTGGGAGGGAACTGAGGGGGTGTGCTGCAATTTTTGGGGATTGTGTGAAGAAAGCTGAAGGTTCTGTGGTGTGGCCCAGAGAAAAGAGAGAGAGAGAGAGAGAGAGAGAGAGAGAGAGAGAGAGAGAGAGAGGCAGGGGGATTTGAACACCAGTGCATCTTGGAGGGGTAGAGACTGGTAAAGCACATAAGGGAAGCTGGAGAGGAGGCTTGGGCAAGGAATGAGTTATTGGCCTGGGCAGAGAGACAAAGAATCAGCCTTGGATTTGTGTATAACGTGCAGAAGGGGTGATTTGGCACAGGGATTGAGGAAGGCAAGAATCGATGATAACTTCAATTACACAGGAAGCTTGGGTGGGAGGGAAGAGAGAAGTATTGTCTTCAGCAAGGGAGAGGAACTGAGGGAAGAGAGAGAGGAGTGATGTGCATGTTTGAATTAAATCAATTGTAGTCAAGCCTCATCCACGGCCCAGTGAAGACTGGAAAATTCCCATGTGCAGGTACTTGTCTCCAAAACCCTGAATATGCTTTACAGAAATCCCTGAATGTCTTTTATCTTCTGTTTGTAGGGTGTACCCAGAGGTTAAGTGGCTTCAAGCCACATAGTAAGCTACAGCAATGACAAGACTTGGGATCCAACATTCTTTAAAACAGCTTTTGGTTCAGTAAACCACAGCAGCAATAAATGTCCATATATGCACACAACACACTACGAGACAAATCAGTGCAACTCTGGGTCCCCAGTTTAGGGAGAGCACATCACCTTATTAACTGCTTCTTACTCTGCATATGCAAAAGTATTGCACAGTTTCCTTCCCTCGCAGGAATATTTCTCAAGTGTTTATTGTCTGCAACTAATTTTTTTCTACTGATCCTGTAAACTCTTTGCTTCTTCAGGATCCAGTTACTTTCTGTTACCAGCACAAACTGAGGAAACGAATATCAATCACTCAGTGATTATTTGCAGGAAATAAAAGCGTGAGATAGCAGCCAGCCCAGGCCAAGGAGGAAGGACAGAAATGTGGTGCCTTTTACAAGTAGAGCCAAAAAATATTATTCATGTGTTTGGCTGTTACTTTCTGAATATTGTGGAGCTTTCTTCCTTTTGTAAGCACAAACTTCTTTGGATTAGGTCCTGTTACCACTGAACTTGGAGGGAATATTTCTTGTTAGCTGCAGTGAGAACAGGATCAACCTATTCAGTGTGTGTTCCTCCTTGCCTTAACTGGTGTTGCTGTTTGTTAAGGTGCTGCACAGGACAAAACTGTGTTTGGTTTCCCAGAACCTTTCTGAGCATTTGTATCTAATCCTTGCATATAGCACAGCCCCTGTGGGTGAAGCAGGTTCAGAACTGGCTGTTTCCAGCAAAGCTTTTGAAGCCAGTGTGAAGCCTCTGTAAAATACTGAATCTCCCCACTCAGTAGCTGCTTTTCTCAAGTCTGCATTGTGCTTCAGGTTTTGCTAAGCTATGGTACAGTAAGCATGATGAATAGCAGGAAAATTGTCTTCGGTCACTGCTTTGGAGATCAAGACTTGTGCTGGCTCGCCCCATGCTTTCATAATACCTTCTTGAGCTACAGGAAGTAAGACAGTACACCATATCCCAGAGTGTTAATTTTTAATGTCTTATGCACATAATGGACTCAACTGTAATTATGAGTCCCATAGCACACAGTTGCCACTGGCAGGATGGAGAAGATGATTGCTGGTTCATGTGGCTCCACATCTAGGGGTTGAAACATTCATCATTTCCATTCCCAAGAGCAGTGGAAACAGCTGTGTGGATTTAAAGCAAAAGCTCCAGTAGAAAGAGGGGCAGTTAGAAGCCAATAAACATTCCCCTGCAATCTATTAAATTCAGAATTTGCAGCATCATCCTACTGCGTCGACTGAAACCTGGGCAGGGCAAAGTGGTTTTGACAAGCCTGTGCTTATGTCCAGAATAACTGAAGTGAATAAGCAGCTAGGCAGTGATGCAGAGAGGAACCAGTATAAAAAATTCTCAACATCTTTTTTTCTCAGTAGTGTTATTTTTAACAAAAAAAAATAAGATTCTTATTTCCTTCTTATGTGAAATCTTGAAGCTGACAGCAACTCTTTCAGACTTGAAAATGACAGGAAACTGTCTGACAGAATAGTAGAACTGGGATTTTTAGGCCTGATCCTGTTCTCATATCTTGGTGGGCAAATTCCTCCTCCTTTGGTGAGCCCAAATGGACTTTACCAAACAATGCAGGGCTCTTCCCTTCAGCAGGTTTAATGTAGGATAAGGCCCCAGCATTCAGACCCTTGCACCAGTGGAACCTGGATGCTGCTTTACCCTCAGCCAGTTTTACAGAGTGATGAATAGCTGTGGAATAGAGTGGAAGGGGTTTTAGACAAATGATTCTCATTTTGTCCTGCCTCTGAAAGCAATACTCCTATATTCTTGGTGTCACAGTAGATTATTTTAAAATCAGAGTTTTAATTTCCTTTTAAAAACATGGTGTCCTATTTTGTTTTGTTTTGTGTGCAGCTCATAAGGTACAGCTCTGGAAACCATTGCAAAAGGGAAGCCAGCCTGAATCCCTCTTCTTTGTTCATGTCACTGGCAGTAATTTCTCTGAATTTAGTGATGCAAAATCACTCCTGTACTGTGCCTAGTGCACTCAATCTTAAATCAAATCCTAACACCTTTTACTAGTGCAAGAAGCACATTTAACGGGCAGGGAAAAAAATAATCTTTCTCTGTGACAGGAAATCAATTTAATCCATTTATTGTTTGTGTGTTTTTTTTCCAGGCTTATATTTGGCACTCTTTACCCTGCATATTATTCTTACAAAGCCGTGAAATCAAAGGACATCAAAGAATATGTGAGTAATGAGGTTTGTGACTGTGCTGCAGGGTTTATTTTCCAAGACTGCTCCCTCACCACATTGTAAAGGTGTTGCCTGTGTTCTGGGAAAGCCCATAAACCAGAGCAAGGGGAAGACTGGCCTGAAGGTGGACTGGCTGATTGCTAGGCACAAGTCCCAAATAAGGAGTTTTGGGTTTGTGCTTCTGGCTCCTCTGCAGAGCTGATGTGCTCGTTGACAAATGTCTGCTCGTTTGCTGGTGGTGCAAGCTATATATGGCTGACTTGAAAGGTGTTTGGCATCCAGAGCTTTGCCTGCTTTCCTTTGTCTCTGAAGAGCAGCATAAATCAAAGTCTTTTCAAAAAGCCTCCAAGCCTTAGCTGCTCATTCAAAACAAAGATCAGAGGAGGCAACTCAAAGCACATATGACTGAACCCTCAGATAGAAACATCCTTCCTTGTGGAGCGACCTACTTACAGGCAGGTCTGGCAGCTGGGTGAGCTGGCTTGTCCTTCTGCTGAAAAATCTTCCCTGGCCCCAGGTCCTAGAGATGTATGGGGCCACCAGGGAAAGTGAAACGTGGGGCAGTCAAAACCACTTGGATGCTGTTGGGTTCCTGTAGGATTTGTAGTGCCCTTCACAACCTCAGCTCTGTTCACTGCACTGAACCTGGCTCAGCCTCCAGATCTCGACTCTTCAATCCTCTCAAGATCCCAAGGGATAACAAGCCCATTTTCTCCGCTGGGTAACAGCATATCCCATTAAGACCTTAGTGCAAGTTCAAACAGGGATTTGGTATGGCTGCTGAGATTTTTCTTTATATTGGTCCCCTCTTTCAGATGATGGTTTGGGATATTTTGAGAATTTTAAGCGTTAAGGCAGACTGTCCCTGCAACCCTTGCACTGCTTTACTCTGAAGGGTTGTACACCTTTTGCTTGGAAATGCTGAAGCCATGTGCTGACACCCCTAAGCAGTGTCTGCAACTGATGTTTAACATTTCCATAGTCCGTTTCTGGAAAATATTTTGTTGAAGGGTCCAATTCCTGTTGGAAAGCCAGTTGCAAAAGAGGAACTCCCAACAGACACATCAGGTCATGACCCAAATGTGGGAACAGCTGATCTAAGACTTGATCTGCACTTACATGTTTTTTTCAGTTTAACACACCAGTTGTGTCAATACATCCATTAAAAAAAAAAAGAAAAAGTAATTTAAACTGACCTAACACAGACCCATCATGTACTAGTCAAAACTTGTATCACTGTCGTTTATTTTATTTTGATTGGTAATAGTGATTCAGATAAATGGTGTTTTAGGCTGATCCAAGCCCATCTGCCCCAGGTCTTGTTTTGTATTTAAAAGTTTTGTTGGCAGGAATGTCTGAACTGACAGAACTGTGTTGGCAGTGAGGCTCTGAGGAAGTTGCAGTTATGTAAAAAGTCTGGCAGAAGCTGCCCTGGGAAGACAATGCTCTCAGAGATTTGGCAGTGCCATGCTACTGCTGTAACACTAAATATAAACATAAAAAATATAAATCCCAGGGGAGCAGTTTTATAGCTGGGTGACAGGTGCTCAGTGAATAGTTTCAGTACCTGCAGGGAGGTGGAGAGAGGTGACAAGTGCTGTCCCCACTGCACTGGGGGGAAGGTGGAGCAAGCCAGTTCAGAGCTGGTGAGATCCAAATTTATTGCCACCTCCCTCTTCCCTTCCCCAGAGCAGCACCTGCTGTAGGTACCCCTCTTGGTCTGCCTTCTTTCCAGCCTCCCCATATTCTCTTGCAATTATCCCAACTTTAGGTAACACAGTCCAAGCCTCTAATTCACAGATTTTCATAGATTTTACTTCCTTAAGCTTTCTAATGTTCCAGCAAAGCTGCTTAAGCATCTCCATTTTCAAATATAGCTAATTAGACAACAATTTTCAGTTACGTTAACAACTTTTGTCTTACCATCTCTTTTCCTTTGGAAATACAGGTTCTTAAATCTGTTTGAACTTCAAGTTTTACAGTTTTACAGTGAAAAAAAGTAGTATTGAGGGAGAATAAAAGGTTTCTCATCTCCAGTACTTGAAAATTATTCCTTATATCATCTCTGCAGTGACAGTTCTGCAGAAGAGAAGCACCACATCACTTGATAAAAATCACTGGAAGTGCTGATGGCATGTGTCAAATGTGTTGTTTCTTTCTGGCCCAGGAAGAACCAATACTGCATACATCAGTAGTTTAGCCAATGCTTTTAACTACCATTTAGTGCTCAGTCACAGAAATCCACAGATTCCTGAGTTACTCATGGTGCTACAGTTCCCTGACCTCGTCATGGTCCCCAAAGACTCTTTCTGTGTCTGCTGACACCACCAAGGTCTCCACCAAGGGTACCATGCATAGGTCACCCACCAAGCAGTCCATGCCACAGTGGAGTTACTGGAGTTGAACACAGTGACAGCACAACACATGCTTTCACTGACAGTGAGGTAAAATGCTTTCACCTAAGCCCCAGGCTAGGGATTTAAGCTGGTGGCCTTGCCCTTGTCCCTGCAACAGGCTCAGGGTGTGGGTGTGAGGAGGCACCACCACACTCAAGTGGTGGATGCTGATTCAGAAAGGTGGGGTGAGCTGGTTGTATTCCTGAGCCCTGGATTGTAGGATGAGTGGTTACCTCTGTCTCCTCCTGGCTTGTTTCCCCTGCCTGGAGATATTACGTCATTACATTTTGTCTTGATTGCAGTTTGGCCAACAGCCTAGTGTTGACCTTTGCTATGTAGATGAGCCAAATGAGATTTTTAATGCCCTGTGATAGGGCTGTGGTCCTCTGCTGGCGGGTGGAGCTGCCTCAGTAGGGACAGAGTCAGGCAGCTCTTCTTTTCCTGAGACCAGTCCTAAAGGCCACTATCTGTCTTCCCAAGGGCTCATCTGGAAATCTGATGTATTATGTGCTGAGGTGGGGGGGGCTCTGGCATCTTTAAACCTGTAGTAATTGTTAAATACTTGTGAGGGAGGGCAAAAAAGAACCTTTTTATGTGAGAGTTGTTCTGTGCACCTATGCCTGTGTGTGGTAGCTTGAGGCCTTTGGGGAAGAGTAACCTGGCTGCTGGTTTTGTTTCCCAGGTGAAGTGGATGATGTACTGGATCATATTTGCACTGTTCACCACGGCAGAGACCTTCACCGACATCTTTCTGTGCTGGTGAGCATCAGATGGGAGAGGGTCTTTGGTGTGAGATGGAAAGAAAAGGGAAATCTTTACAAGGGGAAAAAAGGGGCACAAAGGTGCCCTGCCTCCTGAACACAGGGTCAGCAGCTTCAGGTGCCTGGAGGTGTTTTGCTTCATTTGTCAGTGCTGTCACAGGAAAAGGAAGCAAGAGGATGGAACTGCTCAGTGATACCTCATTAGTGAGAAGTCATTACCAGAGTCTCAGTCCCCTGCCTGTCGGAGAGAGGTGCAGCTGATTGCCAAGCTGGAGGCTTGCAGAGCTCATCACCTAAACAGCAGCAGCTTTAGCTGGAGGCGTAGTTCCAGGCTTACCTAGCTGTGTCCTACAGTAAATACCCAGGCTCCAGGGATCAGGCAGGAACAGCCCTGCAGCACAGGACTTTGTAGGTAGCTGCATTGGAGGTTGCTCCTGGGGTGTTTTGCCAGGCCCCTTCCTGGTTAGGCTGGATTTACGGTTTGGTGGAGGACAGTGACAGTCCATACTGGCGTGGGGGTTTTGGTGTCAGTGGAAGGTTATTGATGTCAGGGCGAGAGCACATAAGTGCCCAATTATCAGATTCAGTTCCTTCAGTTTAGATGCTCAAGTTTGAAAATGTTTGTTTCCTGAAGAAGAGAAGACTCTGGGGAGACTTTATAACTGCCTTCCAATGCCTGAAGAGAACCTACAGGAAGGCTGGAGAGGGACTTTTCACAAGAGTGTCCAGCAACAGCACAAAGGCAAATAGTTTTAAACTGAAGGAGAGTAGGTTTAGGCGAGGTCTTAGTAGGAAGTTCTTCACTACAAGGGGGGTGAGACTCTGGAGTAGATTGCCCAGAGAGGTTGTGGATGCCTCTCCCTGGAGGTGTTCAAGGCCAGGCTGGACGAGGCCTTGAGCAACCTGGTCTGGTTGAGAGGTGTCCCTGCCCATGGCAGGAAGGTTGGATCAGATGATCTCTGGGGTCCTTTCTATCCTAAGCCATTCTATGACTTTGTGCTTCTTGGTTGCCCTTTTTAGTAAGGCCTTTCTAGTGGAAACCAGTGAGATCAGTAGACTTCAGGATGAAAATTTAGCTGCAGTGCATGGGCCTCTCTTATAGCCCATTCCTGCACAGCACTGCATGCCTCTAGTGAGTCTTCCAGACAAAGGGAATCCGGGGTACTTGGCAACATGTCAGATCTGTTGAAAGGGAGATAAAGGACGTTATTGTCTCTCTATCTAATTTGCATGCAGATCTACCTCCATGTCTTCATCTGGAGCTTTGTTTTTTTTGGAGGATGTATTATGTGGGTCTCTTGAGATGAATGACAAAAGGCTTATCCAGCCTGTAAAATCAAGTATGCTGTAGGGATCCTCAGTGAGATGGAAGACCAACCTGACAAATCCCTGCTCAGAGCAGAGCTTTGCAGTGGTCTGTCGGGTCAGACCCGGATGCTGCATGGCTAGGCTGGCCCAGTGACAGAGCTGTGCTAGCACAGCAGGAGACTCTGGGGCCTGCTGGATTGTTGCACCAACCCCATCCCAGGGGCTCTGCCCTGCTCTTGCCTGCCCCTGCCTGCAAAGGGTATCGCTGGTTCATCACACTGCTGGCAGCAGCATGCCTGCCCACGTGAGGATGGAGCTCACTGGCCAGCCTTGAGCTCTAGGCTTTGTCCTCCAGAACGGAGTCTCAAGGATTCTCTGGCTTGTTGCTACAGCTAAAGCACATCCTGTTTTTGGTATTTTCCAGTGCTACCTGAAAGCCACAGTGTGGATCTATGCCTCTATGTTGCGTGTTGCTTGGACAACAAAGTTTCTTGTATTTCATTTTTGGTCAGATAAATGTTATCTGGAAAGGAGAAAGGCAGAGACATGAAAGGTGCATAAATACATTAATGAAATACTGATTTACTGGTTTGCTTTTTGCTCCCTCATAATGACTGGGGATGCAATGAAGGCAGCATCTGTGCTCTGTGCAAGTAGAAAGCTCCTCTTATCACACAGCAGAGTCTCTGCCAGACCATTAAATAATGGCCCTGATACCCAAGTAAAGATTTACCCACATGCCTAGTGGAGATGTGTGCAAAGGTGAGTGAATGTGTTCAGGTGTTTGGATTGTTTGGTAAGCAAAAGCTGCCCTAAGCTAGACTGGACAGTCCCTTCCTCTGCTGAGTATCCCTACTTAAGAGCAGTGGTTAAATTAGGAGCAGACATTAACAGCCCTTTTTCTTCTAGGTTTCCATTCTACTATGAACTCAAAATTGCTTTTGTAGCTTGGCTGCTGTCTCCATACACAAAAGGTTCCAGCCTCCTCTACAGGAAATTTGTTCATCCAACACTGTCTTCAAAAGAAAAGGTAAGGTGCCTGGGTCCTGCCTGCGTAGAGCAGATCCATGGTTTGTTTACTCCACTCTCCCTATCACTCATTTTCATTGAAGGACTGGGAGTTGCTGACTCTCTTCCTCTTATCATTTGATCATCTCTTTTTGGTTGGTGTTTTTGTTCTTTGTGGTTGTGTTTTTAAATACTGGCATCTGTTCAGTGCACTCAGGCATATTAACTCATCTTTGTGCACTTGAGAGGTTGGGAGGGAGATAAAAATACCTCCTGAGCTGCTTTGCACATACTGCCTGAATATAGCTGAGTGCTGTGTTGTGGCTGGATGGAACAGCCAGAGAAACGGGGTCTGGCAGCCAGGGCTCCTTATCCTTGTTCCCAGCTCTGCCTAAAACAATGTGCAGCAGTAAGACAAACAGCCAAGCCTGCCTGAAAGGGGCTTAGCAAGCACTTGACTGGCTGGGAGATGTGGAGCGTGCTGAGATAAGGCACGTGGCATGCTGAAGTCCTGCATTGAGAAATATGTTGCTCAAATTTATGGTGCTAATTTTGGTGGGGGGACATTAAGCCTTGCATCATTTGCCTGCCTGGGATATTCCACTGGCTGTGAGTGGGACCCTGTCAGGCAGATCCTTTTGGGTCATGTGGGTACATGTGCCACAAATCACTACCAGTGATCAACATGCAAACTGCTAAGAAATGAATAACTGTTTCCCACGTTGGCAGCTCTGGAAGTGAAAGATCTCTGTTCAGACACAAGCAGTGCATGAACAGTTGTCCAAGAAGGACAGTGGGGGTCAGTCCCCTGTCTCTTTGCTTCCTGGGAACTTCTCCTTATGCTTCACACAAGCAGTGCTAGTGCATTTTGGGTTGCCACCTCTTTTCTGTTAGGAATGGGGAGGGAATCACTAAAAAGCTAGCCACTTGTCACAGCCTCCCATCCCTACTAGCCCAGCACTTCCAGCAGCTGAGTACTGGCAGTCGTTGTCATCCATTATCATCCAGACCTCTATGTCTTGAAGGAGGGAGGGTGAGGGCAGGAATTTTCATAACCATTTCACTGTATATTGAGCAGCACTGAAATCCAGAAACTCTGAACCGATTAACTGCATGGACATGGTGAAGCTGGACACTGCAGTGATGTGTAGAGATATCTCAGATACTTCTGAGACCACCAGTCCTGCACCCAGGGCAGCACAGCTGCAGCTGCCCAGTGTCATAATATGATTGTTTTTAACGGTGGGCCAGTCCAGTTTGTCTGCAGAGTCCAGAGATTGCACACGGCTCCTGACACACCCTGATCCATTCTGCTCAGGTGGATGTGTCTGTCTGGCTTCTAGGACCTACTGGTGGTGGTTGCATTGTGCACGTGTGTCCCAGCTTTGGGTCCCAGGCTTCCACTCACAGAACAAAGAGTTCCCAAAGCCTGGAACAAGAGTGGCTGCTCCCTGGCAACCCTTCCCTCTTTGCAAGTGTTGGCTGTGAACTTCTCTCCAGCCAAGGTGGAGGATCGCTGCCGGCACAAACGATGACTTGGCTCTGCCAAGAGCCTGAGGCTGCGAGGTCTCTGAATTTGTGCGAGATCTCTCCTCCTTGTGCCTTGTTTCATGCTGACCTGTTGTGTGCTGCCACAGGAGATCGACGACTGCCTCATCCAGGCGAAGGACCGCAGCTACGATGCCCTCGTGCACTTCGGGAAGCGGGGGCTGAACGTCGCCGCCACGGCAGCCGTCATGGCGGCCTCAAAGGTAAAGGTGCGGGTCAGGTCGGTGGCTCATTAGCATCTCATCTGCATCCATCACCGACAGCAGCCACAGTGTGGAGGGAGGAGATGGTGAGGGTAGGGGCTTGCGTTTGCTCGCTGATTTTGGTCATGCCTCCCAGTCTCCCATTCACCACCCCCACAGGTGCCTCTTGGGATGAAGGCAGTAAGTGTGGTGCCTAGTGAACCTGTAGGAGGTTGGCAATGAAGGATTAAGACTGGGGTCTGCTTTGGGCCTCTGTTTTCCATCAGTACTGAGGTGACAGTGTTAGCAATTCTGTTCATCACAACTCGTGCTCGTCATTTTCACTGTCAAAACAGGAACATGTTTCCATGAAAGATGCTGACGTTAGGTGAACACCATGAAAACCCTGGCAGGGAAATAGTTTTTTTTGGTCAGCACCTTCTGCAGTAAAGGGAAAGGCCATCTACAGCCTAGTTTGTCAGTTGTTGTGCTGAATTGTTGGGAAGTCTGGAGGATCTGGTGACTTATAATTTGAGTGCCAACAGAAAGTAGGTGTGATCTGAAATTTGTGAAGACTAAAAGTTTGTCTGCAAGGCTTACACATAACATACCTGGTGTATAATTCCTTGGAGACACGTTTATGGACAAGTGAATGGGAAGTGACATTAGTTGCTCTAGGAGAACAAGCAGATGCTGTATGAGTGGTCTCATCTGAGGAGGTGTTTCCTGTACTCTGTCCCTGGCTTAGAGCCAGAACCAAACAATAGCTGTTATCTCTGTTTCTTTGCTTGCATAAAACCTGCAAGGACTTGATAACTGCATTTTGTGGTCCTGCTCTTTGGCCATGGATGATCATGGCTTAGAACAATTGTGCACAGGGACTATACCCTTGTGTTTGAGGGGCAAGACCTGTATAAAAGAAAGGGCTTTCATGCAGTCAGATACAGGGATTTTAGAAACATGTGTGCAAGGTGGTTACTGGTAGTAGGAAAAACATGAATGGGAGTTGAAGGAAATTATTTTCCTCTGTCAGATGCTTTTCATACGACCTCAGTTGTGTAATTTTAGTATGTCTTGGTCTTATCTTCTGTAAAAATGCATAATACAGACTTAGGAGGCCAAATACCATGAAGTCTATAAAGTGTGGTGGATGCAAGGTATTAGAGAAGTGGGAAGACCCTGGGATATGCCATGCACGTGTAGGACCAGAAGGATGTACAAAAACTGTATCCTGTTCCAAATAAAAGCCAAAAATTGCTTCCCTTTTCCCTGCCAAGCATTGTACAGACTGTGGCTGTCAAGCCTGCCTCAGTTCTGCTGAGCTGTTGCTCTTCAGTGGGGAGGCTCTGCAAACCCAGAGCCTGCTGTCTGTTCCAAACCTGGACTGAAACCTGGGATAAACGTGGAGCTGGGGCAAAGCTGTCTGTTCTATGCCCATGGAACACTTATGCAATGCCTCTGTGACACTTAACATACTTGCTGCTGCTCTGTAGCCCTGAAGAAGTGGCACCATGGACATAAGGAGGTTCTGGGAATGCCTGTTTTGCAGCACTGCCTTTGTTCTAAGCCCCTTCCTACGAGGTGCAGCAGACTCTCTGTGCTAGAGCTGTTTTTAGGACAGAGTGAGAAACTATGTGTGAATCCCAAAGAAACTCTGACTCCTCTTGGGTAGCTCCTGAATATGAGAAGCTCAACAGTAGCCCAGACCCACAGTGCCAACCTGTTCATCTCAGGGCTTCAACAGTGTCTTCATCAACTCTTCAGCCTGAATGAACCACAGTTTTTCTTCCCACTGAAGAATTTTTCTGATATTTTTCTCAAGAATCTCACTGCCTTGAAGTGTGGCTCCAGTGGCAGTGGGAAGCTAGGTAGAATGGAGAAGAATCTCCAGGGTACAAGGAGGACATTGTTTTGCATGAGTTAATGAAGCTCCCCATTCAGTGTGGGAAGAAAGCAACTCTGTGACTTGTGTGCTGTTGTTGTATGCCACATCTGCCAGCCTAACTTGAGAGAAAAGTTAGGATCTTGCAACCTGTAAAAATGGACCAGAAGAGCCTCCTGCACACTGCTTTGGGGAGGAGAAAACGATCTGTTGATAAGATTGAGAGGTTGTTATTGGATTGATTGTCTGATTGATTTTTACAGCAAAGGGAGGATTGCTCATGTCTTTGCTTCAGCTTTGTCATTTAAATTATCCTGAATGTATGAGGAAAAATAGGACTCCTGGCTTCTTTCACCACTTTGGCACATGACCTTCAGCAAGTTGCTTGCTTCTGTGTGCCTCAGGGTGCAGATCCAAGACTGATTTCCTCCAAAATGGAGTGATGCTCCTGCTCCTGGACTGTGCACCAGCTCTTTGGACATCCTCAGGTTCTCTCTAACCTATCAGAAAGCTAATCCAGAAAGATAAAGAAAGGGAATACTGTTTTTCAAGCCCACAGATGTCTCATGAGTGACTGAGCCAGTACAAGGGAACAGACAGAACTGCATTGTGAGGAGTATGGTTGGAGGAATGGAAAGCAAGATCTTCCCTTCCTCCTCCAAAGTGGAGTGATGCTCCTGCTCCCGGTGGGCTACTGTGCACCAGCTCTTTGGACATCCTCAGGTTCTCTCTAACCTATCAGAAAGCTAATCCAGAAAGATAAAGAAAGGGAATACTGTTTTTCAAGCCCACAGATGTCTCATGAGTGACTGAGCCAGTACAAGGGAACAGACAGAACTGCATTGTGAGGAGTATGGTTGGAGGAATGGAAAGCAAGATCTTCCCTTCCTGGTTGTGGGAAGCAGAGAGGTTAGCTCTGCTGCTCATGGAACCACACCCTTAATGCATTTACAGTCTTCATGGTATAATAGTCAGGAATGGTTAGAACAGCTTCTTCCCTTTGCTCTTCTCAGACTGAATTTGTTGTCTTTTGAGCAGGGAGAGGTGAATGGCTTTGATTTACAGCCTGATGTGTTGCAGTACAGAAGTGCTGAGCTGAGGCTCCTCAGGTATTCAGGCTGTGAAGTGTGATGCATCAGGTGAGGACATGTCTCCATTGAGCTGTCCCTGCTGCTGTGAAGGAACCAGATTTCCAAGAGAGGAGCAGGTTCAGGTGGTAGCAGCTTCTGTTGCCCTGGTTTTCAGCTGCTGTTAAGTGTATGTCAATGCCCTTACTTGCTCATTTGAGAAGGAAGTATAACAGAGCTGAGATGCTCCTTCATGAGAGAAATTTAAATGACTGATTATCTGGAAAACACTTTGAGCTGACAGATGCCAGACAAGACTGCAGTGCTGTCCTCAGGGGGAAGTTTCCAGCGAGGGAGAAAAGAGAATACTATTTCTAAAGCTTACCCTGGCTTTCCCAGTGCCAAGGTTTAAGGGTATCCAGCTAGCCTGTGATAAGTGTTGAGTGTTGATGGGAAACTGAGCCCTGAACAGGTTCATTTGGTTTCAGCCTTTAATGGATCATGTTAGAATTGGAACCTAGAGAGATGATTCAGAAGCACTGAGCTCCTGCAGCTCCCATGGAAATCATGGCTCTTGCCAGCAAATGAATGTGAGGATCTATCATATTTCCTGCTTCACTTGGATTAATGAGCAAGAAGAAGATGCTTTTGTATTAAGAAATGGACCCTCATACTTTGCAGGTCAGCATCTTCTGGTGACAAATACACAGTGAGGTGCTGGGCTGAAAGGGTACTCTGTACAGACCTTTTTTCAGTAAATAAGCTTAAATCTAAAGGCTCCTGTACTTGGAGACTTGTCTTCCACATGCATAGCCCTATCCTCTCCTCTCTCTCTGAGCTGTGGTAACTCATCTCCTTGTGCTCCCACAGGATCCCTCATGATCTTCTGTCTTTGGTGATAAGATCTTTGGGCAAGGCCTGTCTCTTCATTCTTTTTAGTTTTAGTTAGCCAAATACTCCTTTCCCCTTTTTCCCTCTCCCTTCCCCTGCTCTGTTTTGTTCTGGAGCCACAGTTGTGCTAGCACTGGCACAAACCCGTGCCAGTTCATTTTACAGGCTGAGGAGCTGTCAGTGTCCCAAGTACCTTGAGTCTGCCCAGCTGGCTCACTTGGGTGTTTTCTCTCTCTCCAGAGAGTCTATTTTTGCTGCTCTCTAAGCAAACAGAACACTGGATATCTGGTCTTATTACCCTGGCTAGGTGCTCAACACAGATCTTTTCCCTGCCCTCAGCAGCTTGTGCCCCCACCAAGGAGCATAATCTCATTTGGGGCTCTGTAATCCTGTCCTTATTGCCTGGTCATTCTGTCACACGCTGCCATGTCGAGTGGGTCAGTCCTAACTGGCAGGTTTAGATGACCAGCCAGTAAATCCTGCTGCTCTTTCTGTGTTTTCAGTGAGTTCCAACTAGTTCAGCCATTCCTGGTCCCAGAGGGCTCTGGGCACTGACCACCACCTTCATTCCAGCTCACCTTGTCCAAGGAAAAGAGAAGCAGGCAAGGAGCCTGCTTTTGGGTCACGGCTAAGGGGGAGCAGCAGCAAGGCCTTGGCCAGGCAGTGGAGTCACCAGCTGGAGGCCTGGGCACAAGTGGGCTTGTCACTGGCACCAGTCAGGTTTCTGATGTGAGTGGCTGGGACCCATCTGTGGCTGCCGTGAGGAGAGGTACCCATGGCTTGGAGGCAGCACCAGCCTCCCCCAGCACATTCATATGTGTTCCCTCACTGTCACCATGCTCCCAGCACTTTCTTATCCTCTCCCTGCCACCCTGAGCTTCCCACCATTTACTGCCTTGCCTTGTCCCCAATCCCCAACTCCTTGCTTACCATCCCAAAACCCTGCCCAGCCCTGCCATTGCTTCCTCTGTCTCTACAACCCACCCATTGCCAGTTTTACACTGTTCCCCAGCTCTGACCTTTTCCTTCAAGCTCCTGGTTTTTCCAGATCCTGTTTGCCTGTATCCTTATTCCTCACCCTGAACAAACCAATTCTGCCAAGCCAGCCAATGTCTTTCCTGACCCCCCGAGACAATTCCTGCTCTCAGCCACATCCCACAGCCAATAGATTGTCGTAACCC